GAACTTGCAATCCTCCTGCCTCAGCCTCCCCAGCCAATGAGATTATAGCATGCACCATTTTGTCTAGTTTACATGGTTTTGCTTGAACATTAATTTATAAATGTTTGTATTGTTTCATTTTCAGTTCCTTGTCAAACAAATCAGATTGATTTGATAACAGGTACAAAATTAACAAATCCACTAAGAACGTTTTCATCATTTATCTTTGTGACCCAATGAGAAAAAAATTTCAACATTCTAATTTCAAGTGAATTACAGTCATGCAATGCCTTTATTAAAATCAGAATTAATTTGTTTTTTGTTTGTTTTGTAGTACTGGGAAATGAATCCAGGAACTTACACATGTTAGGCAAGTGTTCTGCTACTGAGCTACTTCCCCATCCTAGAATTAATTTAAATATTGAGGAAATCCCCAACTTTTCCCCTTTTTTTTTAATTACCTCACATTGGCAAATGAAGATACTATTCTTCTAGTCTGTTGTATTGTAAACCTACTAAAATAAAACTTATTACCAATGCCCCATCCATTTTTAAAAAAATCCATTTCAAATGTTATCTCCTGTATAAAATATCCATAAATCTCATAAAAACAATTTGACAATCATTCCTCTATAAATCTAGAATATTTATTTGTACTATATCTCACATTTTGGCCCCCATATCTTCTGCATAAGTTGTCCAACTATGTAATGCTAGAGTATACCATTCACACTACCCTGAATGAACAGTAGTCCCTATGTGTATGTATGATCAATAGCTGTAACAATTCCTGTCTCCCCTGTACCTACAATTTTTTTAAAAAATCTTTTTTATTAACTAATTTATTTTAATTAGGTATATATGACAGCAGACAGAATTTTTATTCACTATATACAATTGCAGCATTACTTTTCATTTCTCTGGTTGTACATGATGTAGCATCACATCATATGTGCAGGCATACATATACCTAGGGTAATGATGTCCATCTCATTTCACCATCTTTCCTGCCCTCATGACCTTTCCCCACCCCTCTCTCTCCTTTGCCCAATCAAAGTTCCTTTTTTTTCCCCTGCCCCCCCCCCCCCCTCCATTAAGGAACAGCATCCAGTTATCACAGAGAACATTAGACCTTTGGTGTTTTGGGATTGGCTTACTTTGCTTAGCATGATATTCTCCAAATCCATCGTTTACCTGCAACTGTCATAATTTTATTCTCTTTTAATGCTGAGTAATATTCCATTGTGCACATATACTACCGCTTCTCTATCCATTCATCTATTGAAGGGCATATAGGTTGCTTCCACAGTTTAACTATTGTGAGTTGAGATGCTGGAAACATTGATGTGGCTGCTTTACTACAGTATGCTGATTTGGGTATGGACTGAATAGTGAGATAGCTGGGACAAATGGTGGTTGCATTCCAATCCTCTGAAAGAGAAAGTAGGAAAACTACCCCATTCACAATAGCCTCAAAAAAATAAAATGAAATAAAAAACTTGGGAATCAACTTAACAAAAGAGTTGAAAGACCTCTACAATGAAAACTACAGAACACTAAAGATAGAAATTGAAGAAGACCTTAGAAGATAGAAAAAAATCTTCCATGCTCTAGGCAAAATTAATATCGCCAAAATGGCCATACTTCCCAAAGCGTTATACAGATTCAATGAGATTCCAATTAAAATCCCACTGTCATTCCTTATAGAAATAGAAAAGGCAATCATGAAATTCATTTGGAAAAATAAGAGACTCAGAATAGCCAAAGCATTCCTTAGCAAGAAGAGTGAAGCAGGAGGCATCACTATACCAGACCTTAAACTATACTACAAAGCTATGGTAACAAAAACGGCATGGTATTGACACCAAAATAGACTTGTAGACCCATGGTACAGAACAGATGAAACAGAGACAAACCCACATAAATACACTTATCTCATATTAGACCAAAAATATACATTGAAGAAAAGATAGACTCTTCAACAAACGGTGCTGGTAAAACCATATGCAGCAAAATGAAACTAAACCCCTATCTCTCACCATGCACAAAACTCAACTCAAAGTGGATCAAGGACATAGGAATTAGTGCAGAGACCCTGTGCCTAATAGAGGAAAACATAGGCCCAAATATTCATCTCATTGGATTAGGCCCTGACTTCCTTAACAAGAATCCTAAAGCACAAGAAATAAAATCTAGAATTAATAAATTAGATGGACCTCAAACTAAAAAGCTTCTTCTCAGAAAACAAACAAACAAAACAAAACAATCAAATGAGGTGAAGAGAGAGAGCCTACATTTTGGGAGCAAATTTTTGCCACATGCACATCAGATAGAACACTAATCTTTAGGATATATAAAGAACTCAAAAAATGTTAACACCAAAAACAAACAAACAAACAACCTAATCAATAAATGGGTCAGGGAACTGAACAGACACTTCTCAGAAGAAGATATACAACTGATCAACAAATATATGAAAAAATGTTCAACATCTCTAGTAATTAGAGAAAAGCAAATTAAAACTACTCTAAAATTTCATCTCACTCCAGTCAGAATGGTAGTTTTCAAGAATACAGATGACAATAAATGTTGGCAAGCATGGGGGGGAAAGGCACATTGGTACATTGCTGGTGGGACTGCAAATTGGTACAACCAATCTGGAAAGCAGCATGAAGATTCCTTAAAAATACCTCTTAAACGAGTACTTCCCAAATAGAAAGTTCCATTCATCTCTATGAACACAGTCCTTAGCAAAAGAAAAAAAAAAAAACAAAAACTTGTTTAATGGAAAACTTTCCACTCTACTATTGAAATGTCTCTAAGATTCTACCAATTTCAGCTGTAACTATAGTTTATAAAAAAAAAACAAAAAACTATACATCTTTCTTTACTTGTTACAAAGAAGTAACAATAAATTGTAACTAGCACTTTATTACTTCTTTGAATACTCTTCCAAAGAATTTTATTAAATGTATTTTGTATAGTGTTAATAGGTAGAGTATGAAAAGAGTCTAAATACATTTTGAAATTGCTGGATTCAATTAAGTTACACTCAATGCAGTACTGGGGATTGATTCCAGGGCCCTGAGTATACTAGACAAGCACACTGCCCCTGAGCTATATCCTATCCCTTTTCTTTTTTTGGTGGCGGTGGGTGGGTGGGAGTACCAGGGATTAAACTCAGGGACACTCAATCACTGAGCCACATCCCCAGCCCTATTTCTTATTTTATTTAGAGACATGGTTTCACTGAGTTGCTAAGCAACTCGCTTTTGCTGAGGCTGACTCTGAACTCATGATCCTCCTGTCTCAGCCACTGGAGCAGCTAGGATTACAGGCCCTAACCTTTTTCAAATTTTATTTTGAGACAGAATATTGTTAAGTTGATGATTTGTGCCAGGATGCCTGGCACCAGTTTTCTTTACAGCATAACTTCTCCAATGTTTTGTGTATTAATAAATAACATTAAGAATCTCCAAGAATGAATTCACTGCTTTTACTCTAGAACAGATAAACTCCATTACCTTCATAGGGACTCATGATATCTAGACTTTCTAGGAATACCTCATTTGGGAGAGGGAGGGAGGGAGAGAGGAAGGAAGGAAGGAAGGAAGGAAGGAAGTTAGTTTTCACTTGGTCAATGATTTTTACAATTCTCAATGAGCAGGAGGGAGAAATTGCTTGTGTAAGGGGTTTCCTGTATCTACTAAAAGCTTCATAGCAGGTAAAATTTGCCCTTTTGATTTTGTTTGCTATCACTGATTTGTAAGAGAAAAAAACTTTAACACTCCATTTACTTCACTGTTCATCTACTCTATATTTAGATTTGTTTCCAGAGGAATCGATGTCTTCATGCATCCAACTTCTACCTCCATCTACTATAAGACAGTATTTTCTCAGTGGGGAAGTTCAGCAGTGTAGGAGGTGTTCTGGAAGTGAATGAGGATGTTTTTGGGTCATTGCTGGCATTTCAGGGATAGGAATTATAGAGATATAAGAGGTTCTGTTGTGCATAAAACAGTTAATCTTGCAAAATGAAGCCAGTCTCACACATAAATCACATAGGTAAAATCTGATTCATGAATATTTGTGCATAAAATCTGTTTTCAATCTGAACACAATGTTTTCTACTTTTACATGACTTTAATATTAATAGTTGCAGAAATGCAAATACTGATATAAAAGACTGAACTACGCTTTGTTCAGAACTTTGTCAAGTTTGTCACTACTTCAGAAAATACACCACCAACAGCAATACTAGTTATGGTATTTAATATAGACTTGCAAAAGTCTATTTGTAACCATCCCATCCACAGTCATTATATGTATCTGACTATTCCATTAGGTATTCTAATATGTCACACCAACGCATTTGTATACTGAAATACACATTATTTTCCTTTATTTATATATTGTACATTTTAAACTATGTGTATATATATTTTATCACTTTTAATTTTCATTTCATGTTATGACACTTTTATTTTCAATTCAGGATAATGAAGTTCCATTATAAAATATTTGTCATATAAAAGGGGTATCAGCATGTTTGGTAAGGTTAGGGTGTTAAAAATAAAAAGAAAGGATTTTATGATTGAAGGGAAGAAGGTGAGAACACTGCACATGATAGGGTTAAAAACCATGAAACTAAAGAAAACAGTAACACCTTAGTCAAAGAAAGGTCTGGAGGCGCACAAATGGGGAAAGTGAGAGTATGACCCTCTTTTCCACTCAACTTCTAAGTTTCCATAGTCTTAAGGAAACATGCTTTCATTGTCTCAGCTTCTGCCAATTTTAGAGTTACATAGTCCTGAACTAGCCCACAGCCTACTGAAAGTGATAAAAATACTTGGACCAAAACGGAACATAACACACAGTTACTGTTACAATAGTTCCTCATGAGCCTTCTGAATCTGTCAGCTTCCACAGTGATGAGGTCACCCTCACTCCCAACTATGATATGGAACTCTATGTTATATATTACCCTTCATTTGGTAACAGAATTTTTCAAAAACACTTACCTCAGTAGTAGTTCCAATATCAGCAGATGGGCTGCATGTGCTAGCATCTGGAGGAGCTGTGCCTACACTGCTTCGAACTGGAGAACTAGGGACAGGCCCTACCACAGTATCTGAGTAGGCTGAAAATGAACTAAGATTGCCTCTCCTCTGAATCTTATTCCAAACCTTCTTCATGGTATCAATTAACTCACAGAAGAGCTGGACCTGAGCAAAAAATTAAAATTAAAAATTAAAAAAGCAAAGAAAACAAGTTCTTCAATTCCTAGTTATAAAGTCACAATCCACTAAAACGCTAACTATGAGAAAATTAACTAGTCCAAGGAAACAATCTACAAAACAAATATTTACCATTATTTACCTCTTGCTTTTTGCCTCATACTCATATTGTGATGTCTTATAATCAACTCAGCATTTCTGTGGATTAAAACCTTAATAACTTGTTAGGAAAAGTAGATTTAACATATAAAAAGTAGAACAAATTCAGGTGTCTCTTAAACAGAGAAAAGAATCAAAATAAAATAATTACTAGAAAATAACTAACATCCTTATTTCTAAAGAATTTGTCTAAATTTTCTCTTTTTTTTAAAGAGAGAGAGAGAGAGAATTTTTTAATATTTATTTTTCAGTTTTCGGTGGACAAAACATCTTTATTTTATTTTTTATGTGGTGCTGAGGATTGAACCCAGTGCCCAGCGCATGCCAGGCGAGCATGTTACTGCTTGAGCCACATCCCCAGCCCATAAATATTCTCTTTTTCTGAGATGTGACACTGAAACTAGGATTTCTGCTTGGCAAAATTAATTATAAAAGAATGATATAAAATTTTAAAAAAACAACATAAAATGTTACATATGGAGTTTTCTATAGATGAAGAGCCAACCCACTACTCCAGCGGTATATGTCATTACAATATTCAGAGAAAACAACTGTTTAACTTGCACATTGTTTGGCTACACTCTAAGATATATGCACAAGATTTCATAAATAAGCATTAATCATGGAATTTATATAACAACATATTGCCATATACTGTATAAAACAAGCTCAGGGAAAAAATGCAAACACAATATATAAGCAAATCCACAGCTGGATACCATATTCTGCTTGCCATCTTAAAAAAAAATGTGAACTTCTTATATTTATAAGAAGTTTCAGCCTTAGGACACATCCAGATAATGAAGCTGTCTTCTTATGTGGGCAGAACAGATGCATAAAAACACTGTTGTCAATCCTTATTTGACATAAAACAGTACTTGGGGATACAGTTTTCTCTTGCTTTTTGTGTAATGAAGTCTCCAATCTCAGGTTATAACTGTTTTTGTTTTAAAATAATGTAAATGGCTAAAGATCCTATAAAACACTTCTCAGAGAAAACTTTTAGTTCAAATTTTTTTCTTCCTTGGAATGATGAATAAGTTTCTTTGTACAATGAAACAATTTTGTTGCAAACCACATTTTTCAAAAAGGTTATTTTGATTTTTTTTAAATAAGAGAAGTGACTAATAAGGAGAATATAAAGCAAAGGAAACAAGTTATACATACTTTAAAGAACAGAGGTTTATTTACTTAAGAGAAATGATTCTTTTATTGTCACAATTTCTAATTTCTTTGACTGTGATTATTAAAAAATTGAGTATGAAAATGTTGTTTAAAGTGCCAAGCAAACAATGACATAAACCTTAAACATATTTCTACTTTCAAAGAAGAAAGTTACTAACTCAGACTTTCTTCAAAAAGTAAATGTTTAACAAAATAAATGTTCAACTCTCATTTTTCAAATTGTCCTGAAAAACTATACCAATGAAATCCACAATGAATTACCACTTTCCACCTATAGAATTAAATTAAATTCTAAAATTAAAAAGCCTAACCATTCCACATATTGATGAGGATTAAGAGCATCTGAAACTTTCCTTCTTAACTGGGGAGAGTGTAAAAACACCACAATTTGATAGTTTTGAAAAACTATTTATAAGAGTCAGCAATTCCAATTCTGAGTATTTCCACTCACAAGTGAAAGCCTACATCCACAGAAAGACATATGTACACAAATGTTCACAGCAGCATTATCTGTAATAGCCCCAAATTAGTAAGATTCTACAGTGGTAATCTGTCTACAGACAGGGCCTATGAAACAGTCATGTTGTCACCAGAGACATGCAGCCCCAGTCTATTGGTCTTCTATTCTGGTCAGCATTATCTAACCTAATTGCAGTGCTCTTGGGCCATGAGCAATCTCAGAAGCAGACAACCCATAACAATGCAGGCCTTGGTTATACCTAGTGCTACACTGGACTCCATGAGATGTGGGCTCAAGGTATGACAAGGGATTGAAGCATTAGTGTCCCAGGAATGGCATAGGAACCTCAGGTGGGTCCAGTGTGAATCTGCTAAGAGCCAAGCAGAATTCCGTGGTACCTGATTATAGGCCAGTAACTATGGATGAGATGAATGGGCCTTTCCAGTGGCCCCTGCCAGAGGCTTGTAGGATGGACTACTCTTTTTAGGTAAATCCTCAGTTTATGGTGAAAAACACACCAATGACAAATTTGGGAAAAATTGGGTTTCGACATAGTCTAGAGCTAAAATAGCACAAGTCATTAAAAGGAGACTCAGAAAACTGAACTTAAAGCACCATTTAGTGACAAAATAGTAGTAGTGACTACAGCCTCTGAGAAAAACAAGCAGTCTGCTTAGAATTTCTGGAAACACATGTAAAAAGTCAAATTATAAAGATTACAGTAAGTATGTAATCCGTCAATGCTGAGATGTTTTCACACATGCATCAAGAACTTTGTTTTGCCAATAAAACTAAGGTACAAAAAATTGACCAAATAGTAATGTTTAACAAAAAAAAAAAAAAAAAAATGTTCAACTCTCATTGAAATCTCAGAGAATTTAAAACAAGAAATAATTAAAATCAGAGCTGAAATCAATGAAATAGAGACAAAAGAAACAATTTTAAAAAGTGACAACACAAAAAGTTGATTCTTTGAAAAAATAAATAAAATCAATAAACCTTAGCCATGCTAAAAAGAGAAGGAGAGAGAAAACATAAATTATTCAATCTGTGATGAAAAACGAAATATCATGATGGACACTATGAAATACAGAAGATAATTAGAAATTATTTTGAAAATTTGTTCTCCAATAAATAGAAAATATTGAAGGCATTGACAAATTTCTACAGTCATATGATTTGCCCAAACTGAATCAGGACGATATACAAAATTTAAACAGATAAATTTCAAGCAATAAAATAGAAGACACCATCAGAAACCAGCCAACCAAGAAAAGCCCAGGACTGGATAGATACACAGGTGAATTCTACAAGACCTTTAAAGAAGAAACTAATACCAATACTCCACAAATTATTTTGTGAAATAGAAAAAGAAGGAACACTTCTAAACTAATTCTATGAGGCCAATATCACCCTGATTCCAAAACCAGACAAAGACACATTAGAGAAAGAAAACTTCAGACCAATATCTCTCAATGAATATAGATGCAAAAATTCTCAATAAAATTCTGGCAAATCAAATACAAAAACAAATCAAAAAGATACTGCACCATGATCAAGTGGGGTTCATCCCAGGGATGCAAGGTTGGTTCAAAATATGGAAATCAACAAATGTAATTCATCACATCAATAGACTGATAAAAATCATATATGATCATCTCAATAGATGTACAATACATCACACATTCATGTTCAAAACATGAGAAAAACTATGGGTAACACATAAAACATTGTAAAAGCTATCTGTGCTAAGCCCCAGTCCAACATCATTCTAAAAGAAGAGAAATTGAAAGCATTCCCTCTAAAACCTGGAATAAGACAGGGATGCCCTCTTTCAACACTTCTATTTAACTTAGTTCTTGAAACACTAGCCTGAACAATTAGATAGATGAAAGAGATTAAAGGGATACAGATTGAAAAAGAAGAACTCAAATTAGCACTATTTGCGGATGATATGATTCTATGGAATTTTTAGATCCAAAAAATTCCACCAGAAAACTTCTAGAACTAATAAATGAATCCAGGAAAGTAGCAGGATATAAAATCAACACCCATAAATCAAAGGCATTTCTGTATATCAGTGACAAATACTCTAAAAGAGCAAGTAGGAAAACTACTCCATTTACTATAAACTAAAAAAAAAATAAATAAATAAATAAAAAAGACTGGGAATCAACTTAATGAAACAGATGAAAGACCTCTACAATGAACATTATAGCACATGAAAGAAATAAATTAAAGAGGACCTTAGAAGATGGAAAGATCTCCCTTTTTCTTGGATAGGCAAAATTAATATTGTTAAAAAGACCATACTGGGGCTGGGGACGTGGCTCAAGCGGTAACGCGCTCGCCTGGCACGTGCGGGGCGCTGGGTTCGATCCTCAGCACCACATAAAAATAAAATAAAGATGTTGTAACCACCGAAAACTAAAAACATAAAGATTAAAAAAAAAAAAATTGAAAAAAAGACCATACTACCCAAAGCACTATACAGATTTAATGCAATTCCAATCAAAATCCCAATGACATTTCTCATAGAAATAGAAAAAATAGTCATGAAATTCATCTGGAAAAATAAGAGACCCAGAATAGTCAAAGCAATCCTTAGTAAGAAGAGTGAAGCAGGTGGTATCACTATTCCAGACCTTAAACTATACTATAGAGCAATAGTAACAAAAAAGGCATGGTATTAGCAGCAAAATAGACTTCAAGAATAGAAGACACAGAGACAAACCCACATAAATACAGATATCTCATATAAGACAAAGATGCTGAAAAATTATATTGGAGAAAAGATAGCCTCTTCAACAAATGGTGCTGGAAGAACTAGAAATCCATCTGCAGCAAAATGAAATTAAGCCCCTATCTCTCACCATGCACAAAACTCAACTCAAAGTGGATCAAGGACCTAGGAATAAAACCAGAGGCCCTGTGCCTATTAGAAGAAAAGGGTTCAGTCTTTGGGGCTGGAGATGTGGCTCAAGCGGTAGTGTGCTTGCCTGGCATGCGTGCGGCCTGGGTTCGATCCTCAGCACCACATACAAACAAAGATGTTGTGTCCGCCAATAACTAAAAAATAAATATTAAAAAAAATTCTCTCTCTCTCTCTCCCTCTCTCTCTCTTTCTCTTTAAAAAAAAAAAAAAGAAGAAAAGGTAGGCCAAAATCTTCATCATGTTGGATTA